TAGCAGTTAAATTATTTAAATCTAAATTAAAAATGATAAAGTGATGTGGTCCAATCAAATGAATGATAGATATGGTACCCCATATTTTAGAAAGGTACCGGAGTTGTCACCTTAATATAATGGAGTAACAATAATGACCTGTAATTGATTAAGAAGTGATCATCAATTGAATTATCAATATAAATTTAAATATCGCCCAGATTCTATGTCTTGAATATATAATTACTTATATAGAGAGTACAACGTATAGGGTCCATGGCCAGCCAACTAGGCCATAGTTGATGCAATGTAAATGTGACGACTAATTAAGTGAATGTATAGATTCACTAAATTTGATCAAAGAAATTGTATCGTTTTCATTATAAGGATTTTTCATAAGGACTAATAGTGTCTTGATTGGTTTGATTAGAATTAGTCTAATCTAAACTAATTCGTTTAAACATGATATGATATGATACCATATGTTATACGGAGTTCTACATAAGTACATATTACCTCCGTCCCTTTTATATTGGAACGGAAGAAGGTAACACGAATTTTAAGAAAAGTAAGTTTGTGTGGTTGATATTATTTGATAAAATATGAATAAAGTAAGAATGATTTTGAGTCACACAAACTTTACCAAATAATGTATGAGACAATTAAATAGGGGCATCCCAATATGGTAAAATGAGACATTTAAAAGGGGACGGAGGAAGTATATAACATGTTTAAGTTTAGTGTGCTATAATTTAGTGTACTGTGAGGTTGTTGTGGTTTGATATTAAGTGGAATTTGATATTATATGTGGCTTAACCTAATCGTTTTCTAATAATTTCATTTAAAATTGTTTAGTTGTTGAATTTTATTATTGAAATCAAATAAAATATTAAACTATTGAATGTTTTGGCAATTATATTCTGATAATCTCATAAAATGTTAAGTACAGAGTATATTGTAATTTTTTAAATTGTGGATTTATTGGTTTAATTAAAGTTGTTATAATGTCAATTATACAATTATACTCATATTTCAATTGTAGTTCGTCTTAGTTGTTTGATAAACAATCACTATGTTACGATATTATACATCGAAACCTAAGCGGTCGAGCAATGGTGTTTTGTTCATCAAATAATGTTAAAAAGGCTCGAATAGAAGTTGAGTTGTCGGATGATGACATTGTTAGTGATCATGGATTGCGTAAAACGATTGACACTTGTGATGTTAATATTAGACACGGGTTGAGGAGGCGTTATGTGACAAAAGGCCCTTGCCAACCGCGTGAGTTTAAATTTCCACCGACTGATTTTAATGCGTGCAACATATCATTTCAAAAGCATTGGTTTGAAGAATTTAATTGATTGTAGTATAGTGATTTTATTTAAAGTTTATAGTTTTATTTATTTCTATATTCGTGATATATATATGATTTCTTTGTTAATGAGCCCCTGCAAGTCATGAGTCCTGGTTCCGTCACTGTATATGTACATCATATAATAGCAGTCTAACCCATTATTCATATAATAGAAGTAAATCTAAAAACATAAATATAAGAAGAAAACAACATAGTGCACTTTCTCATTTTGTGTGGGATGATTACTCGATTACCAGTTAATGATCAATAATTCATTAGGAAGTGATCATCAATTGAATTAATTTTTTATAGTTGAAGAAAAATATAGTGTATCAAAATATCCATCGTCAATATTTCATACGCTACAGGTTCATGATGTTTTTTTTATTAAACCACAACCAAAATATCAATGGAAGAAAAGAAGTCTTAAGTCATAAAGAAATAATTTGTGAATAAAATATTTTAGGGAAAACTCTCAAATAGGTTTTTGAACTTTCATAAAAAAGTCAATTAAGTCCTTATTTAGGAGGATCTGTCCGGCCTTCACGATTTGGGACGGCTCCCGGTGAAATTGTTTGATGAATTTTTTTAGCATCTTATTCATCAAGTCTAGTTTACTCATACCAAATTTCAGCTAAAACTTCAATCAGGAACGCATTCAAATTAATTATTGAAGATAACTGTGCAGTTAAATAAGCAGTTATCTTCAAGAATTAATTTGAATGCGTTCCCGATTGAAGTTTTAGCTCAAATTTGGTATGAGTAAACTAGACTTGATGGATAAGATGCACAAAAAATTTCATCAAAAAATTCAACCGGGAACCGCCCCAAATCGCGACGGCCGGACAGAGCTTTCTAAATAAAAACTTAATTGACTATTTTATGAAAGTTTGAGAAGCTATTGTCCTATTTGACAGTTTTCCAATATTTTACAATGGTTAATTTGAGAGGTGCAAACGACACAAGCACGAGTTTTCCTAGTAAAAAAGAGTTTAAACACTTGTTTTTCGAGAATAAACTTTCGAAACAAGTGTGGGGCATATTCTTCACTGTTTTTAGCTCGGAATAACCTGAAGTCCTGAACTCCGAGGTTCATTTATAATTTCTTTTCATCGATTAATGATAAGTAAATCTTATCTTCTCAATATAATTGTTCATTTAATTTTGAATTAGGAGTAGTTTTAGTTAGGGATTTGAAATTCTAGAACGGCTGTTCATATGATATAGGGTTTCTTTCTTGACGAGTTAACTGGTGATATTGTATAATTTGTAGAAAAGTTGAATGTTAAAAGCATCTCCAATGCTATGATGTAGAGGTGTTCGTTGGTTTGGTTTGGTTTGGTTGGTTTTCGGTTTCGTTGGATTCGGTTTTAGAAAAGGTGAAACCGTAAACCGAACCGCACTACTTGAGTCAATTTCGATTTGGTTAATTTCGGTCGGTTTGTGGCGGTTTCGGTCGTTTCTAGCATGTTTTTGTCGATTGGTTTCGGTTCGATCTGTTTTTTAACCCACGCCAAAAGGTGAAACCGTAAACCGAACCGCCAATGAATAATCAGTTTCGGTTTGAGTCGGTTTCGATTTTGGTCGATTTGCTGGTCGGTTTCGGTTTTTCTGTTTTTTTGGTTCACCCTTACTACAATATGCACGGTGAAGATGTGGCATGAGAGGTAGTCACATAAATATTAACAAATAAATTATCTCTCTCCATATTTTGGTAATTTTTTCTCTGCAATGTCAACCACAATGTCAACATCTAGACGGTCTTCTTGACATTATGGACAAAAATTTACCAAAATTGTATAAAATCATTTAAATAATGAGATATATAATTTATTTGTTAATGGAAAAGGGTCAGATAGGTCCTCGAACTTACACAATAAGGTCAAATAAGCCCTTATATAGAAGGTTCTGTCCGACCGTCGCCATTTGGGGCGGTTCCCACTAAATTTTTTTGATGAATTTTTTTGAGCATCTTATTCATTAAGTCTAGTTTACTCATACCAAATTTCAGCTAAAACTTCAATCGGGAAGACATTCAAATGAATTCTTGAAGATAACTGAGCAGTTGAAAGCGCAATTATTTTCAAGAATTCATTTGAATGCCTTCCCGATTGAATTGTTAGCTGAAATTTGGTATGAGTAAACTAGACCTAATGAATAATATGCTCAAAAAATTTCATCAAACAATTCCACCGGGAACTGCCTCAAATGGCAACGGCCGGACAGAGTCTCCTTTATAAGGGCTTATTTGATCTTTTTATGTAAGTTCGAGGGCCTATTTGATCTTTTTCTCATATTTATATAATTATCTCTCATGCCACATGCGCATCGTGCACATTACATTGGAGATGCTCTAAGGATGTTTTTACTTGGAATGTAATTTGACCCAGTCCAGATCAGACCAGACTTAGATAGTTATAAAAGTATAAAGAAACTAGACCAGACCAACAAATTATAGTCAAAGCTAGGGCTGAGACCGGTTCGGTTCTTACTCAAAATGAGTGGAACCGTTATAAAAGTTTTAACTAATGAAATCGATTCGGTTCCTATATAAAAAATCAAGAACCGTTATGGAACCGAACCGGTAGTAAACGGTTCGGTTCTTCCTTTTACCGGTTCCTAGAATAATTTTCTCGTCTAAGAATTAACACATAATTTTAAACACGCCGAAAATTCAAAACACGAGTATTAAAATTTTATTTGAAGCTCTAATCACTTCAAACATCAAAGCTCAAACTTAACTAATGAACTTTGAACACTTGATAGAACAAAAGTTATTTAAATTTTCATGTAATAAATGAAACATTAAAAATCGTTGTAGTGTCGGAGCGATGAAATCGTCATCATAGTACGTTGCAAGAATAGGACGCCTACTTCAAGTCTTTCAAAACATAAAAAAAGACATTGAATTTGCATGTATAGATATAAAAAACATTATTACATTCTATTGATTCATAATAAATCTAATAATTAGAAATATCATTAAAATAGTAAAGTAAAATATGTGCAATCAACTACAAGTTATTTGGGTTATTTTATATTTATAAAATTTATGTGATGAAACAAAACTTGATTTGTAGAAAGGAGTTTAATGTATTATATCAACCTCATGTACAATATTTATTACTTCTTTTCCGTTGATTAAATTAGAATTGTTAGTTAAATATCTTATATTGTTTTATTATTGTTGTTGTGGTGGTGGTTATTATTGCTATTATATTATTATTATTATTATTATTATTATTATTATTATTATTATTATTATTATTATTATTATTATTATTATTATTATTATTATTATTATTATTATTATTATTACTACTACTACTACTACTACTACTACTACTAGTATTTTATTTTTTATTTTTTTTAATAACGGTTCCTTAACGGTTCCATGCACATATTTTTTATAGGAACCGGGAACCGAACCGTTATAACCCGCTTCGGTTCGGTTCTTACAAATGAGGCATTAATTGTTAACGGTTCGGTTCCTAGATGTTGTTAACGGTTCGGTTTCAATCGGTTCTACGGTTCCCGGTTCCAAAATCCCACCCCTAGTCAAAGCAAAGATCAGAAAATAAAATAAAAAAAGTCGACAGGGCCCATGGTAATTTTTTATTTTTATTTTTTTGGTTATTTATTTATGGTTTACACTTTACAGTTTACACCAAGCATTTTAAATTATGGCTAAATGCCCATCTATTTTAATAAACTCGCCGGTAGCTCCCTGCCATCTGCCGCGGATAATCGTCAATTGTACTTCTCCTTCCCTTCCGAATTTCTTCAAATTTGCAGCGGTTTCACATCGCCATAAACGCTCATCAGCTTCGTTCTCTACAGTATCCTCTTTTTCTTCCATGGACAGTCCGCCTGAGGGTTACCGTAGAAACGTTGGCATTTGTCTCATGAGCCCTTCTGTCAAAAAGGTGATTTTTAATGCGTGTTTTTATTGATATTCTGATTGCTGCATTTATGCTTTTTTAAAGTTTGGATCTCATATTGTTCACGAGGTTCGTCTGTTAATTTTGCAGATCTTTGCTGCCTCGAGGCTTGACATGCCGAATGCTTGGCAAATGCCTCAGGTGAATTTTGGATAAATTTTAATAGTTTGAGCTTAACCTCTCATGTTCTCTACTTCTCTATCATATCAGTGCATTCCAATCCACTCTTGTGCAGTGTTATACATTCAACTGGAATACTCTAGTGTCTATGCAGTCATGCACTGTATTCTACTATTCTCTGCGGATGAAATTCAGCTTCTGGAACTCAAAATTCTTACTGTATTGACTCACAATGCAAGTAATTTCTCGAGTGTGGAACTATATCTCTCTATGTAGCCAAACACGTATCTCACACTAGAGATAGATACTACGAGGGATGCAGTCAAGTAATAATAAATATTTCAAATAGTAAACTGTAATTATCTAACAGTAAAGTTAATAAAATAAAACCCTAGCTATTCTGAAACCATGTGATTGCCAAGGAAAGATCAGCGCATCATATAAAATAAGCAGTTTTTATGATTTTGGTTTAATTATTTTGGGGGGTCTAAAGAATGAAATTTTGGCTGATCCAAAATAACCCCCCCTCGCCTCTTCTGTTAGTCTCAGTCCCTCACTGCCTTCATGATGCCATGACCTAACAGTTTGACACCATTCACAAATCCAGTAGCAAAGTTATCATATGGTTCTATCGACCCACCTCTTCACTGTACGGTGCTTATTTGTGCCTGTGTTTAGTATGGCAGCATGTCTCCAACGATCTCCCAGTATCTTATGTGAGGATCATATTAAATGGTTGATTTTGTATATGGAGTATTTTCATCATTTGCAAAGAAGCTAAACTATTTGCGCTTCTTTGTTATGAAGCAGCAGTCAGTCCATGCAATTTTCAACGTGACTTTCACCATGGGTCATCCGGAAACAGTCTCTCTGTGCTTTAGTACAGGGGTAAGGTTGCGTACATCTGACCCCCCTTACCCCACCGTAGATGGGAGCCTTTGCGGCATTGGGGTAATGGTGATGATGATGATGAGTATTTTTTTAGGATTTTGTATTTTCTTCTGAAGTTAGACTCATCATATAATGTGTTGCAAGTCGCCAAGTCATGTTGAAAACCGTAATTACCTAACTTTCTTCATGTTTTTTTAAAAATAACGTTAGCTATACTAATATCATATGCTATGACGATTGTGTATATTTTCACATTTTGCAAGTAGTACCACACACATCTTGCTTTCATTCTGCACCAATTGTTCAGTATGACCAATTCTAGTACCCCTTGAGATGAAAAGGCAGCTTGTGGTAGGTCATAGGTGTTGGTAAAAGTTCATGGAAAGTTATGTACAAATATTGTAGAAAATTTTACTTAGGACTTTAGTAGATAAAGAGTTTAATTTACTTCAACCATCTAGCTTGCGTAAAAGAAATTGTTGAGTTTAGGTAATGCTATTAAATTTAAATTATCTTGTGGTTTCAACCTTTCACCCTTTTCTATTTTTTACTTAATTCCTTATTTTAACTACCTTTACTCTGAGATGCTGTTTTTTTTTAACAAAAAAACAAGGGAACAAGTCATATTTAGACATGCCTTATCTTTTGACTTCTTATTTTCGCAAATGAAAAATATTGCTCAAAGAAGCCTAGCATGCTGTTTTCAACCATAAAACCATAATGGCATAATGTTCTGCTACAAAACATTATTTAGTCCCTTAAAAAAAATGGAACCTTTACTTTGGACTTCCATACTTATTCATAAACGAAAGCACTAATGAAGTACTCCCCCCGTCCCGCTAAGGATTGTCCCATTTTACCTTTTCGATCCGTTCCATACCAAATTTGGTAAAATTTGTGTGGCTCTAAATCATTCTTACTTTATTGATTCAATATGAACCACATAAACCACTTTTTATGGGTTTGCGTGTCACTCCCTCTTGTCCCATTGTTAGTGGGACGGAGGGAGTAATAAACTAAGTTATTCTTGACCTGCATGTCTTTAACTACTTAGACTTAGGGTCAGGTACTCAGGTGGGAGAAATGCCACATAAGAACTAATACAGTTTGCCTAAACATGTACGGAGTATTTTGATAGGTAATAGAGGAATCCCAGTAGATAATAATAGTATATTAATGAAGATCTATGGTTAGAATACAGAAAATAACGTAAGAAAATGTCAAGACTCTTCGAGTGGCCTCACACTCCCAAGTTCCCAGTCCTGATCCCAAAATTCTGCCTGCCACTCTACTCATGACTCACACTTATTAATTCTATTTCTAATGGGCCAGCCCACTTATAATTACTACAGGGCCTAAACCCTATTATTGAACAAAATTATTATTATTACTACTTAATAAGGCTCAAATTATTAGTAGGACTGGGTCCGAAAAACCGAAAACCGAATCAAATTAAACCGAACCGCGGCCAAATAAAACCGAACCGCTACGAAATCGAAACCGAATGTAAAAAACCGAACCGAACCGAAGTTGTTTGGTTCGGTTTTGGTTTTTACCCTTCAAAACCGAACCAAACAAACCAAACTATTTAAAATATGAAATTTATATGTTAATTGTTAAGCATTAATTCTAATAAATCTTAATATCATCAATAATCTTTGGTTTTCTTGTGTTAGAGAAATAATGTTTGTGTTATGTTTAATTTAATTTAGTTTATAAATTCATTTACACATTCATTGTCTGTAATAATGTAGCTATATTGAATGATGATAATATGCGTTTACTAGTTATTAGTAGTAATTAACTTTTATTTTTAGATAACTTAAAGATTTTATATTGATAAAACAATAAATATTCATCTCAACTATATCACATAGAACGTATATATTCATGAGCTTTTTTCGAACTACTCACAAACAAATTAAATTAAATCAATAATATATACAGTTTTATCTATCTCGCATACTCATATAATTCAAGACATATTTATCACTTCTCATTTTTATTTTATTTGTTGTTGTATTGTGCTTGCTTTCTTTATGTAATATGTTTGATCCCTCTAAGTATTATATCAATTTTAAATCAAGTGAGAATTTTTTGGTAAAAAACCGAAAAAACCGAAACCGAACCGAAACAAACCGAACCAATCAAACTGTGGTTCCAAGTTTTGGAGTTTAAAACCGAACCGAAACCGAACCGAACTTTTTACTTTGATTCTATATTTGGTTTTAGGTCAAAACCGAACCGCAAGAACCGAACCCACCCCTAATTATTAGTAGTGTCTCGGTCCCTAACATATTTGGCATCCCAATATCTCATACACGTTGGATAGAAACTAGTAACTACATGTGATGCTTATCAATTAATGATTGCATGAATTGTGTTCATAAAAAAGTAAAACCATGACTCTAGAGTCTAGACATATAACAAACTAATACTGTTTGCCTAAACATGTACTCCCTTTGTCCCTTAAAATTTGGCCAAATTTGACCTGCAGCAGGAATAATAAAGTAAAAGTTGTGTGATTAAGATTTGTGCAGAGGAGAGAGAATTAACTGGAACCACATATTTTTTACTTAAAAGAGAAAGTGACAAAGTTAGTGGGACAACAAAAAGGAAAGTTGACAAAGTTTTAAGGGACGGAGGAAGTATTTGGCATCCCAATATCCCATACATGTTGGGTAGAAACTACATGTGTGACTTATCAATTAATGATTGCATGAAGTGTGTTCATAAAAAAGTAAAACAATGACTCTAAAAGACATGCAACAATGTAATGTATGAGGTGGATTTAGGACATCGTTATCCATGGTATGTGGGCAATGTCGTCACAGTTTTCAGTGAAAAGATAACATCTGATATTGATTTTCTGATACCTATTTCATGTGAAGACTTACAAATACTGTTTTCTGAAACAGGGAGGCGTAGATGAGAATGAAGATCCAAGAGATGCTGCCATCCGAGAACTAAGAGAAGAAACTGGAGTCACTTCTGCAGAAATCATTGCTGAGGTTAGAAGTATATTTTAACCTTGTTAGTTCATGTTGGAGCCATTATCTTCATTTGTTAACAAGAAAGTGGACGTTTGTAAAGATAGTCGGCCCTTTCAATTTATCTTTTCCTCACCCAAAAAAGAATCCATGTTTCACAGAAAGGTAATCTCTCATGTAATCTGCCAAAATACAAGCGATTTCAATGTGATTTTTTTGTCAAGCCCAAAAACAAAATTTCAAAATATAAGTCGGATTCTATGATTTTTTGAGGAGTTTTACCTTGCCAAAAAAGATTGTAACTTGATCAAACATGATATCTTTTATTTGGACGAAGGTGTAGTATATTTGTGATAAGTGAGTCAATGGAGCTTGTACTGAGCCTCATTGTTGATTCTTGATTTGCTCCGTCTTGATATATCAACATGATAATTACATAACTACTTCTTGACATCTCGTATGTCACATACAGGTGCCACACTGGTTAACATATGATTTCCCACTCCATGTTAGAGAAACACTCAACCAGCGATGGGGTTCTGACTGGAAAGGTCAAGCACAGAAGTGGTGGGTTGATCTTATATTCTTATGCCCCGCTTGGTTCCCGTGTAGCTACAAGGGAATTTTGTAGCTCTTTGCATATGTCTGCTGTGTACTTCTACGTCATCAATTTACTGACAAATTACTATTGTCCATGTTGCTCTCTAATTTCAATATGCTCATATGTTTAGGTTCCTCTTTAAGTTCACTGGAAAGGACGAGGAAGTCAATCTTCTTGGTGATGGGACTGAGAAGGCTGAATTTGGAGAGTGGTCTTGGATGTCACCCGAACAAGTTGTTGATCGTGTAGGTCCACTCTTTTACTCTTGAAAGTACTTCAACAATAACAACATTCAAACCTTAGTCCTAAAAGAGTTTGTTGTCGGCTAGCGTGAATTGACATATGAACTCTTAACTAAAAAAGATAAGATAAAGATAAATATAAGATAAAATAAAAAGATAAGATTAAAAAAGATGGAATGATAAAGAAAATAAGAAATGTTATCTCATAAATATACTACCTCTGTCGCTTTTTAATAAATAATTTACAGCTGATATAGTGATATGCCGGTTAATCTCATACAGTGTGGGGTGATAATAAGCTTATAATCTAGCTTAGAAATATAAATGACATCTCATATCCTCATAAATATATTTACCTCCATCATTAGTTAACTTACCTCCGTCACTTTTTAGTTAACCGTCATTAACTTATCCAATCAATGATGGCAAACTTTGGTCAATCATTTTAACTTTTGTTTTTTTGCGAGACTTATAATCATTATATTTTTATGATAGTATTTTTAAAAAACATTTTCATATCTTAAATACTTCTCCCATATAAATATAATATTAGTCAAATTTTATCATCATTTAAATGGAAAAGTCAAATATGGCTAACTAAAAATGCCAGAGGGAGTAATTCTACGGCTTTTAAAAAGGGATATAAATGGTGTGGAATATTCTATTTAAATTAAATATAAAATAACTAAAGGACGAAATCACGAAATAAAAGATGGATATATTAAAAGAGCAAACTAGATGTTTGAAAAACTATTAAAAAAAGCTTATTAAGTAATTTTGAGCTTTTCAAATTTCCTCCAACTGAATGAAGCTTACCTGCACAGCTTCCTTAAACCTAAAAGCTGGCTTATATGGTCGCTTATGGAGTGCCAAGTGACGGAACCAGACAATATTTTGAGGGGTGCTCTTATATGTGTGTGTGTGTGTATATATATAGGACATTATTAGTGCAGTTCTAATAAAGACAGTGTTCTCATAGTAAGTGCAAACAACTGCACTTTTAATTCCTTTATCATAAATAGCACTGCTTTTTGTCTAGTTACCTGCATTATTGGTATATTTGTATCCATTTGTATATGCATTTATTCAGTGCCTTCACACTAAAGTGTACATCACGAGAGCATATAAAATGAATGTGTGTGTGAGAGAGAGAGAAGTGAATATATATGTATATAATACATATCAATTTAAATATACATACATTTTTTAAAGAGAAATTTCTCCAGAGTCCAGATAGGAGTAAAATATAGACAAAGTGCACATATAGGGTGTAATTATGTTTATACCCAAAATAGGTCTTATTTGGTTATATCTAAAACACAAAACTTTCTCAATCCTATTCCAGGAAGAAAACAACGGCGGTCCTATATATACATTTTATGTATCTTTTGTTCATATCTAGAATTTTTCTCTATTTTAATTATAAACTTTCTTTTTAGTGCCTTGCTTCTAGAGCAAGATTATTTCAATTTAATATACATAAATGTTATTTTAAAACATCTGTATGTAATTTTGACATATTTGTACTAAACAATTGAAAAAGTAAATAGTTGTTAAAATTAAAGCTTAGAATTATTCTTGATAATTTACACATTAAATGATATAGGCCAATATTTGAAGATGGAAGAAATGGTAAAAACTTGCTAGCTTATTTCTTTTGTATTGAAATAGTGAAAAGTTAGTCCCTCCGTCCCTAAATAAAAGTTCCTCTTTCCTTTTCAGGCCGTCCCTAAACAAAAGTCCCATTTCACTTTTAGCAAACAAAACAGTGCCAAACAGTGTCAGACGGTGCCAAAGAATCCCACTTTCTTAAATTGCGTGTAAAATATTGGGGGGCTTTTATATAGGGACGGAGGTAGTATGTTATAAACGTCTTGTATTAGAAAAATAAGACCACAAAATAAAAGATATAGAAACCTTAAAGCTTTAATTGAAGCAATGTCTTGTAGTAATAGAAAGCTACTCCGTATATGTCAAGAAATATGTAGTATTATTTAGTTGAATTTTTTAATGCAAAATAAAAGAAGTTTAAAAATGCATCAAAAAAGCTACAAAATTGACAAATGAAGTAGGGAGCAAAAATGCAGCTGTGGGATTTGAACACTGAACCGAAAGGAAAAACATGCAGTGTGCCTACTATATTTACAATCCAAACAGTTGTTCTTTCTTAGTGCAGAAAAGTATATGTTACAATTTTCAGAGGGGTGCTCTTGATATATACATACATATATACACACACACACACACACATTGCGGATGCCGGAGAACGGGGGGTGCCGGCACCGACTCGCCCCCTAGTTCCGCCAGTGAGTTCCAAACATTACCTTAATGGACACTAAATTTTATGCCACCTAATAATATAGTTCGAATGAAGGTTGTGATGACGATATAGGCAATTGGATCCTTTATTTTCCTTGATGGTAACATTTGGCTGAAATATTTTCACTGCAGGCTGTGGATTTCAAGAAGCCGGTCTACAAAGAAGTTATTTCAGTTTTTGCTCCATTTCTTCAGTAGCTCTGGGGATGTGTCAGTCAGGTCTGCATCCTCTCCATAATGGATCATGGCATGCAATCAGACTATCAGAGTGTTCCATGGGCAAGATGGAGAGCCAAATAAAGTCCCAAGAACAATTTTTCCAAGTCTGTATCTTATTCTCTTGATGAACTGTATATGGCTGGTATGTTATAGAGATAGAATGAGGACCTACCATCATTTATGATATTAACTTTATGCCATCAACCCCATCAGGATATTATTGTAATATTGTTATAGAAAAGGCTGCCCTGTTTGGCTGCATTGATCGGCTTCTTCTGAATATGAATATATGATGTATCGAACTTCTCTACCCCGTCAGTGACTCAGATTCAACAAGGGGACAATGTTTTATGTTCATCTAGATCTACTACGTACGAGTATTATTTATAATCTTTATTTTTGAACAATGCTCATAGGTTTCATCCATGGACTACGATATATGATTGATTGTTTGTGCAATATGCCAATCTTCAATCTTCATCAATCCCCTAATTAGTGTGTAATACTTTTATGCTCTCTTTTCTTTCATCTACCTTTTAGCCTTTTAGGTGTACTATACTAGGCAGACTTGTCAAGTTAAAGAAAACTACTTACGGTGTCCCGGTGATAGACGTTGTACTCCGTACCCAAAAAAAGTTCCAAATAACTTTTGCAAAGTCAGAACTAACCGGGCTAACTGATAAAACCCTTGTAATCAGTGGTTAACCCTCTTTAGGAAAATACTTTGTTATTTACTGGTTTCTTGAATATCATCATTGCGCAATGCCCTAGTCTTGGCTAATACGTAGTAGTTTATATTATCGTATATAGATGATCAAATTTCATTTTTAGTCATTCAATTATGTTGTATTCACTATTTGTTCACTTTTTCTTCCATTTTCTTTTTCGACTGTGAATTTAAAAAACTTTGCTTTTATCCAAAATGCTCTCACATGAATTAAATTCGATGGAACTTTAAAATTTGATCAAGAAATAAGGATCTTTTGTACGATAGTATATTATAAATAAGTGGTTTTTTTCAAACAAATGGTTTGTAATAAAAGAACTTAAAGTTAAGAACCAATCAAACCAATGCAGTCATGCAGAGATGGCATATGCGAATGGTCGAATATAAAAAAGTTTCTGTATAGACAAATATGTTAGAAGTACAAGGAAAACTTAACTAAAAGTGTTACTAAAAACATATGTGAGGGGACAATAAAAAACAAAAAGAAAACATATGTGGTGGGCATGCTAAACTAATTGGTATGATCATAATCATCATATTATGTAAATGCAATATAATGTGCAGAAATACAAATATTCACGTACTAACTTATCACTTTATAAAGATTATTATATTGTTCTTGTAGCATAACTGCATAAGCATTAATTAGAAGGTTAAACTCTCTAATTTTGGAGGTCCTCACCCTTTGAGTAAAGAAGCACTGAACTAGTGGCAATGGTGGGGATGATGATGAAGACAATAACTATCACAAAATTTGATGCTATGATTAATAACACTTAACACTAAATTGATACTGTGATAGCGAGTGACATATCTATTTTTTTTGGAAAAAGGCGGCTTATATTGATAATAAAACATTCAGCAAGAGACACAAGAGATAAATGAACCACTTCCAGCCACCGACCCTCGAAACAGCCGGAGAACCAATCACCCTAAAAAAGAGCAATATGATTCGCTGATCCTATAACGGGTCTACATGAGTCTATCATGGCCAAAGCAATGACCTCATCACCCCCACCTAATGTAAGAGTCTGACAGAAATAGAAAAACTAGAAGATAACAACGACAATGTTCATGCCTAAGAAACTCAAAAACAGTAAAATGAAATTCAATAAAATAAACCAACAGAGCACCCGAATCCATGCTTCAAATATCATCCTCGGCGGTGGCTCAGGAGGGGGACGGATCATCAGCCCCTCATCTTAGAACATTCCCTGCAAACCCACCACCACAATTTTCGATGACATCCCCTTAATCCCTGCGATTATAGCACGAGTGAACCCGGAATCCACGTTTGCTGAAAGCCTGAAATCTCCTCAATCGAAACAAGCAACACCTGTGAGGCGACCATAACCCGAGCAAAACAACGTGATCCAAATCTGCTTTTGTCTGCTTATCTCCAAAACGCCCGACATGATGCCCTCATGCGTTCGAGGCTTTCCACAGCTTGTCGATCAACAACCTCCAAAGCCCGCAGATATAAAGCCGAAAAACCTGCACAATAGTAGAAAAACAAGAGATGCCAAAGAGATGCCAATCGATCGGCAACAATTGTCGTCTCAAACTTCGACAAGCGAAGAAAATCCAAACCCTACGAAGGAGGGTACCAAGCCGCCGTTACTCCAAATCCAAAACCAAGAAAACACGATAATTACTAAAAAAAATTATTAATGCGTGCGAGATTACAATTTTTTTGGAGTATAGGTTGTATAACATAAAACATATCTACCCAAACATAGTAGTTGGTGATTATAGAGATACAATGAGTTGGGTGGTGATGGTTATTGAAGAAGAGGTTGTGAGACTCATAATGATTAGAATTCACCCGGAGCCTTTGCCTTGCTTCTTCACAGCCGTTTGATCGAAAATTCAACGGCCAGAAATCTTGGGGTACACTCTTTCGCCGATCTCGAGACCTCTTCACCGCTGATCTGCCGACGGATGCGCAAGGGACTCTGCCTTACGGCAGAGGATCCTGATCCGTATTCGCCCTCTATTTGGATAGTAAACATACCCTTCATTTGTTTAATATTAAAAAGTAGAATCAACACTAATGATAAGTTATGTTTTGAGTTCCCACCCTCTTCTTGAAAGGTAACCAAAGTAGAAGTCCTTATAGAGGGGGAGTGGTGGTGCATGAAGGTGATAATGACAGTGAAATAATAATGATAATAATAATAAAAAAGAAAAACTATCTAATAAGTCCTAGTAATATTTGAAAATTAAATCAAGAATGCAAACTTATAAAAACACTCAAAATTGCAATATACGTAGTAAGTGATAAGCAATATATTACCTTTTTAAGATGCTTGTGTGACACCCATGCGACTCTTTTTAAGTTCTTTCCCTTTAAAATATTAAATGTTGGTCTAGCGTTAGGTTAAACTTCGCTGGCTTCGTAAGCCATTTGAAAGGAATTTAGTGTGCACACCCTCCACAAAACCTTGAATGGCCTTCATCCTTGGAAGTGTACAAAGCAAAGAAATTACTTTATGGAGACAATAATGATATATACTCCATTGATGGAAGAAAGTAATTAGAAGGGAAAAATTTATACTACGGAGTATATACTTTTTCTTCCATCATGATATATACTCCATCTGATTCAAAAATAAGTTCCACCTTTTCTTTTCGGGCAGTTCCAAAATTAAGTTCCCTTTCAAACCTTTCCTTATTTGGCAAATTATCTACATCAAAACAGTTCCAAACAATGTCAAACAGTGCCAAACAGTGCACTCCACAGTAAAGTCAAATTTATTTTCTTAATATGTGTGAAGTCAAATGTGGAACTTGTTTTTGAATCGGAGGGAGTACATGAAATAAGCTTTTCTTGTTCGAGGGAAAGATCGTTTGGAATGCTAATCCTTTAAAAATGAAATGCCATACATCAAAATTCTTTGTGATGAAACATTAAAAAGTATTTACATTCCATTAGAGTTAAATTCACATTTAGTCCTTGACTATTGTGTTAGTGACACTTTTGGTACTCTATTTTTAATTTTCCCATTTATAGACACTTTTAGCCATTGATTTTAAAATTTATTGCATTTATTGTCAAATTGGTATTTTTAGTCCTCCCACCGTGACTTTGACATAATAAATGCATGACTAAAAAATTCATTATAATTGTAGGGTGTGTTTCGGAAAATAAAGAAAATTAATTAAAATAAATTAATTAAATAAAATGACTAGAGAAAAACAAGAAAGGAGATGAAGCAGAATTAGTCAAAGCTCGTGCTACGCACGATGTCCTTAAAACGTATTTGTTGCCTCCCACGGTGCTAGGAGCGTTGCAACAATCGTTTCCCAGGATACGATGACTACGAACTAATGTTTGAGCACACAAACAAGAGTTCCAGCGAACGAGAATACAATATGAACACTTAGGAATTTTTCAGAGAGACTGGAGGTGTTTTTAGCTGAAGAAATACATGAGCTCGTGTAAGATCGTGTGTTGATGCAAACCACCTGCCAGCCATTATATAGGAGGATTTGTTGTGTGCAAATGGTGAATTAATGGACCTGAACGTTGGACATCAATGACCAGTCCGTTGGGCATTGAATCGTCCATGAACTGTCCATTTAACGCTGCATTAAAGATAAAAACGTTGGACATTTATTGCTGTAACGGACAGAACGCGACCAGAAGACCTCCCAAAAGAACACCCCACGAGGTGTTCTGCCCGAAACCAACAGAAACCTATTTGAGGTGTTTTGTCCGAAGCCACCAGAACACCATACCGAGGTGTTCTAGTCGAGGCCTTCTGTCCGGAGCATTTCTACCGCTGGGCATTTCTACCGTATCTCTTGAGAGATAGATTTTTGGACGACATTCGTGTCCGTAGGTCGCCCGCGCACGCAAGTCGCCCGCGCACGCAAGTCGCGGTTTTTCTTCTCCGATTTCGGGATTTGATTTGCACCCCCCTGCGCGCGTGGAGAGAGCCTTTACCCTAAGGAATCTTAACTCCTTAAGGGGGGAGTCCCTTTATAAAGGGTTGCAAATCCCTTGGGTTTTCCGGTGTGAGAAATAATTCACTAGAAACCCATCCTTTTGCCCAGTTTTTCCATTCTAACGGGTAAACTTCGAAAAGCGATTTCTCATTCACCCGTTATCCGTTTTGAGCGTACCATATATCGAATTGTAGCCCTAAACAAGGACAATCCGAAACCACCTTGATCCGACCCAAATCGGAAGTGGGCCCCACTCAAAAAATTGCCCCAAAATTACCATTTAATGCAATTTTTCATACATTTTTCCAACAATAATAATACTTAAAATTCTAAAAGTGTTACTTTTGTAAAAATCGAAAAGCGAAAATCTGAAAATTTTCATAGATGAATAATAAAAATGTCTTTTGTACAATAAATGAGAAATTAAAAGTGAAAATATTCAAAATCAGGGAATAAAAGTGTCATTTTAAGTGGCAAAAACTCGTTTTTCTTATGTCAAATGCATCCCCACAAAACGATTCCATGGAAAATAACCCCACAAAAGATGGATCGAAAGAGCTAATTTTGCAATAGTGGACCCACGTGAATTCATTAACTCGTAATGAACAGTGGTAATGGCAAAAGTACGTCCACTCTTTAGTGTTGGTGTCTTTTTTGGCATCTTTAGTCTTCATTTTGACAAATCATCATATTTTACATCAAAGTAAACCCATCGTATTCAAATTTTAAAACAAATTTTCTCACGCAAAACATGAATCGTGTTTCTAGCCGTTACCCCCGTCCCAGATAGCTGTAATCTTTCATTTATCTGTTCTGAATAAAAACTTTGGAATACCCAAAATCTGATGTTTTCTAAGTAGCCTCGAAGAAATGAAAACAGTGAAGGTGAAGCTTCTCAAAAAGCTCAAAACAATCGGACATCGTAAGCGGGAAAGAATCATGCGATTGAGGGCTTCCGATGGGTATATTCCGGCATCCCCTCCGCCGCCGGCGACCGATCCCCTCTCTCCGCCGGTCCCCATTTTCTTTCAAGGAGAAGAAGAAGAACCCAGAAGTACTCTCCAGAGCCTTGTCAAAGATCAAGAACCAGAGATCATTGAAGTTTCTGAGCTGATGAAGGATCTTGAAGATGAAGAAATGGAGTTTCTTGATGACGTGGAAGACAAAGAGAACATCAGACCTTCACCGGAGGCAAATAGATTGGAAAATCTTAGTCTAATGAAGGCAAAGATTGAATCTTTGACAAAGTGGGATTCAGGATTTTTCCCCTTTTCCGAGATTGATTCAATCGAAGAAGAAGAAGGTAAAGATGAACCTCCTGCAAAAGTGAGAAAAATGGAAGGAAAGGCTATCTCCCTTTTAGATTTTGAGGAGAAATGTCCACCTGGGGGAAGTGATTCAGTAATTGTATACACAACAGGGCTGAGAGGGGTTCCAAAGACGTATGAGGATTGTCAAAACATGATATTGCTTCTCGAGAACTTTCGGGTTTTGTTTTTCGAGAGAGACATCTTGATACATTCGGAGTTTAAGGAGGAATTATGGAGAATGTTAGGACAAGAAAACAAGATGAAGTTGATTCCACCAAGGCTGTTCATAAGGGGGAGGTACATTGGGGGAGCTGAAGAAGTGTTTGCCTTACATGAACAAGGGAAGCTTAGGCCTCTCCTTGAAGGCATTCCTCTTGATGTGGGACAAGAGGTTTGTGGAGGGTGTGTGGGGATGAGGTTCATCTTGTGTTTCAGATGCAGTGGGAGCAGAAAACTTCATCTTGATCAGAATCATGATTATGACTGTGATAATGGTAATGGTGAGTGGAAGAAATGCCCTGAGTGCAATGAGAACGGGTTGATTGTTTGCCCTTTCTGTTGTTGAATTGAAAATGGATGTTAAGATTTGGGATAGTTTACATAATTACATTGTTGATTGTGATGCCAAGTTGGCAACATATCAAAACCAATGTATACAATGTCTTATAATTTATATAGTTCATTACTATGATAAATTATAAATTACATACATGGATGGTGCGTTTGACATTCCTACAACCTCTCTTAGGGCATCAATGCATTTTTCTTTTGAGGGAATCTCACTTGTTTAAAGCTCCAAACAATCTCTTTAGGTGATGCAGACAAGAGAAAAAGCAAACAATGTAGACAAAGTGTCAAAGTGATACAAATATTCTCTTTTCTACACCAAGAGGTATCTAATACACACAACATGAACATGCATAGTACATGAATTTATTCGAGGTATTGCCCAAGCCGTTGCCCACTTTAAGACCGTGATTCAAAGCCCGACTATACTATACTCAGATAGTTAGATTCATGTATAGCATCAGCATTATATAAACTTAAATCTAATTGTATCTGGATCATGAATTATTGAGTACGGGAAATACTAGATAATTTATGCTTGGATCATGCAGTAATAAATGTCATTACTTAAACCACAAAGTATGAAGTCGTAGCATAAATAAAACTTCAAATGCTTTGGAAGCGTGACATAAGAACACTTATTCCAACACTTGAAATAAGTGTTTTTTTCATTAGTGTGACAAAAACAAACAAGTGTTTGTGTGTTTCTCAAGATGTCCAGTACACTTGATCACTTGCCAAACTTCCTCAGCTGACTAAGCCTCATCGCAAACTGGAATCTAGCGTCAAGGGAAACCCAAGAAATAAGTGTTGTGCAAATGTCATATGACCATGACCGCACTCTCACCAGTTCTGCAATACGTTAACAAAAACAATTGATAACAAATGTGTTTACTTTACGAGGTTTATGTATTCATATATATGGTGAAATAAACCAAATCACTATCCAAGACATTGTTGACCAACACCCTCCACAACTTCAGCATTCCAGGCATCCAACTCCACTTGTGGTATATACTGTTCACTCCGTGTTTTTATGACTACAAAGTTTGGTAAGATCGTCTCACACATAAGGGTCTCACATGATAAACAATCATTGTGATCTTCTTTGAATCAAACTCCAATGACTTCGCATAATAGATCAATGGGTGGGAGCTAGGGGTACACACTTTTTGTACACAAAAAGTGGGACAGACAACTCATCTCGCGACAGACAACTTGTCTGTGGGGGACAGACAAGTGTACACTTTTTGTGTACAAAAAGTGTGTACCCCAATCTTTTTTCATAGATCAATATCAGCCAACACCTAATGCTTGCCATCAACATTTAGTCGAAGAAATACGTGCAGAAATAATTACACTTTGAAACTAAAAAGAATGACTAATATATGAAGCAGTGACTTCTATCTACGACAAGACAATATTTTAGAAAGACTAGTCCAGTGAATTCATTTGAGGGCCTATCCTCTGTCCAACTCCTTGCCGATTTGATTCTTCAAAAGTTGATGTTACATTTTAAAGGAGACACCAAATACGTTACACATAAGTACAAATTTGGAGGATACATGTTTATGGAGATCAAAACCATTCCCTCTAACTTTAAACCATACCTCTTCACAGGGGCGTATCCATGATTGAAGCTGTTTACGGCTTACGCACTAGGCATAATAAGAAAAAATGAATTATCTGGCCAAATGATTAGATATGTTGCATGCAGGAGATGTCCCAATGGCTTTTGCCTAATAACATCCATCCAGTGTTGTATGATCAGATATGACATATTCTCGTTTCAATGGGTCTAATATGGTAACACTATTGGGGCGTTAAGAGCAAATGAATTATCTGGCCAAATGATTGGATCTGTTGCATGCAGATGTCCCAATATTTTTTTTACGCGGAGGATGCCAGAATGTGACAACAGATTGGACTGCAGGGGTAGTGGGGTTAAAGCTCAGGGTTGGACAAATGTCAAGCTAGGGACGGAGTCCTTACAGGTTGTCTCAAACTTGATACAGTTATTGATGAAAGTAGGGAGTGTTTGCAACTGCTTCTGCTTAAAAAAAGTATTTTTGGAGATGTAAGGAAAAAGTGATTAGTAGGAAAAGTTGATAGTGTTTGAGAAAAAAGTGATTTTGAAAAGTAAAAGTTGATAGTGTTTGGTAAAATAAGTGCTTTTTGTGTAATAGAAAGGGGAAAAGCACTTTTCACACGCAAGCCGAGAAAAAGTAAAAATTGGTAGTGTTTGGTAAATAAGTGCTTTTTTAAGCCAAAAGCTGAGAAGTGCTTTTTTTTTAAGTGCTTGCAAACACACCCGTAGTAAGCGGTCCGCGAACGTAGTAAGTACCTCACAAGTTAGCTAGGGCTGCTCTTCGTTTGTCGGATGGCTATCTCTTTTTAATGTTCCTTGTGACTGTATTGATTAGTCTGTTGGAGAACGATAAATTACATTAACAACATGCTAGTTTTCCTCTAAAAAAATATTAAAATTGAATTAATTATCAATAGGGAGGATTTAACTTCGACATTAATTGACCAAAAAACATTGACTTTGCAAAATAATTTGGAACGGAGGTAATATATACAAACCGTTGAGAAAAATGGACAGTTTTCCGGCCTAATCATAAAGCAGTTGAAAATTTTGGATAAAAGTTTTAATAGGGATGAACAAATAACACTGGAACTTGGATTGGTAGAAGGGGTTTTGATGGGATGAAAGGTATCTTCAGTTTTAGATTTATATATAGGAAAATAATCAAAATATTCATGTAAGTTAGGCCTAAAAGTTAAAATTTTAGGCTTCTTTCGTTTGAGGTGCTTCCAGGACAAACTATTTGATGAAATTTTGTGAGTCTACCTTACATGATCATTACCCTATATTTGAGAGTAAAAATATCCTAAGAGATTGAGTTATTTACAACAAAAGTACAAAACCTAAATCAGTTGCAACAAAACCTAACTCATTGTTCAAATTTTAGTTTTTTAAAGTGCTAAAAATTAACTTTAAAGTGCTCAATTTGATCATTAACATGTATGTGAATATATTAATCCTTTTTTTCAAGCAAAAATCTAAATCAACTTTTTCCATGTTTTAGCAAACCCTCCCTAGGGTAAATTTGTACATAGCAAACCCTCCTTATGTTGGTTGTAAAATTTGGGCAAGAAATGGTATGAGCTTAAAAGATACTACCTTCGTCACTTAAAACTTTGTAATCCTTAAATGTTCACGTCAACGGTGATAAAGAATGCTACAATTAATTTTGTTTGCGAAACCTTTCACCAGAACTTTCATTAATTTGAATTTTCTTTATGTAATTTAACACTTGTTTTTTTTTTGTTAATTGGCTCTAACTTTTTCACATTTGGCAAACTTGATTCATCTCATACTTCTATTTAAAAAAAAACTCTTTAGTTTGTGGAATTAGGATGTTTTACTTGGATTGTAATTTGTTGGTTTGGTCTGATCTGGCCTGTTTAAGTCTTTTTTGGTAAATGTCTGATCTCTGTGTATTTTATACAGGGGCGGTCCTGAATATTTGAAGGCCTAGGGGCGAATAATTCAAAATGGTCCTAAATTTTAAACAAATTGTAAAAGCCGTTTCTTTTTAAATTACATGCAAAATAATAATATTTGAAGCGTATTTTTATTTATTTTCATGTCTCTAGTATAGTATGCATTTGAGAAATGTCTACATTTAGCATTAAGAGGATAATTAAGTTGCGTCTCTTTTATAGGACCTTTTTCAATTACAATATCATTTGTTTTGGCATCTAGATTCTAATCAGCAGGGTTATAAATATCCAAAATCAAATGACCAACAATTGACGTTGATACATTTGATCTATCCAATTCATTTTTTGGTTGCTCACTATCAATGTTATCAATTCCTAAATTCTGACCTCTTACAACATGATCATTGTTAATTGTTTCGTTTTCGGTTGTTGAATCATTCTTCTCCTTAAAGTTCTTGGGAGGAGTTTCTGAATTTGTCTTCTTCATAAAAATAAACTTTTCTATTGAACCTTTTTTACTTACGGCAGCATTATCTAATCTTCTCTTCTTCATTTTTTTCTGCCATCCGTATTCCCTCATTTTTATTAAACTTTGAAGTTAAATAAGTTTATAGTTTAATTATAATTGAAAATTGAAAATTTTTACCTAACAAAATGAATAAATTATAACACCAACAATCAATAGGTAATAATCAACAATTAAGTTATTAACATGTACTCCGTAATAATTAAACTAATTAAAAATCAACTATTCATAATCATTTATAAACATTAAACAACTATGAATTCAATGAATTTATCAATTAATAAGCAGGTCACATATCCGCATGTTTGTAACTTTGTATTATTCAAATAAATTAATAAAAGAAAATGTTAATTGTTAAAAATTGATCACATAATCAATAAAGAAAATGTTAAAAACTACTGCGTATAATTTTGCAAAGTGGAAAACAATGGTAATGGCTTATGGCCAAACAGCCGAAGCAGAAGGCCGAAACTTAGAAGGTCAGAAGGTGCACCTAATGACCTGCGTGACTTTACAACTGTGGAGGTGAAGGGTTACAGAAGTAACTAAACTCAGTTTACGGGATTGAACTTAGGACCACTGAATTCGGTTACGGAAGTAACTGAACTCAGTTTACGGGATTGAACTCAGTAACTGAAATCAGTTTACGGGATTGAACAACGTTAGTTTAGTTACTCCGTGTTTTTGGGGCTTTTGGGCTGCACAAAATTAAAAATTTTGGGCTGAAAATCAGCCTACTCAAGCATACTATAAAGAAATGATTCTGGGCCTAAAATTTTTACATTTTTTTTGAGCCCAGGGCCACTGCCCCACCTGCCCCCCCCCAGGGCCGCCCCTGATTTTTATAACTACGGAAGTCTGTTCCGTTTAAGTCTGATATGTGACTGAAAACGGTTCAAATAAAAACATCCTTTTTTTATTATTTTTTGATGGTAAGTAAAAACATTCTTAGAATACAAATTAAAATAGTGATCCAAATAGTCAATAAAACTTGCAACATGTTAAATAGAAATACAAATTGTCACAAAACCTTCTCCTCTCAACAGTCATATATGAGATACAATAAATGATGTTTTAAATAATCATTTTAATGTTTTACTTCTTACCAAAAAATAATAATACCCACAATTTATCAAAATTATTATTCAAGCTAAATAATACTACATAGAATAATTAACGTAAATATGTCACATTTTGTTTTGGATTCCTGCATTTTTTGATTTGTTTTTCATCCATGTAATATATATTATTATTTTTTAGTCTAGCTAAGTAGGTAACCACTCCATACATGAAAAAGTTATTGTCAGTTTCATAAATCAAATAGAAACTCTTAAATTATTTTTCTATAGTTTTTTGGGCTAGTGTGAGACTTCAAATATTTAAACTAATAATTTACATTTTGAAAAATATGTATTAAAGACCTTCCAAAAAAATTAAATTGATTACTCTTTAAATAACATGATAAAGAATTAGAATAAAACTATTAATCAATGTTTTTTTTTTGTAAAGTGGAAGTTGTTATCATCGGTGCCTTAAAAAACACAACTTAAATATCAGGGATGAAAAATAAAAAATAATTTTATAATAATGTAAAACAAAATAACAATGTACGGAGTAAAACAAAATGAACTGTATGTATAGGGACTACAAATATATTAAAAATCTAGGGACTACTGTATACTAGTATATTTTTGTTATCCTCAATGGACCAAATTTTAAAAAACAACATCCACAGTTCCACACTCCACTCACAGTCGGATTATTTTATGACGCACCGACTTGGCCACATTTCCGTTATCTCCTTCCTTTTGAGCTGCCGAACTGGTCACTCTCTTCCCTGGGGTTTCCCCATCCCGTGCAGTTACAGGTGCTTCACCTTTCACGAGAATTAACGATACCGTTTAAAAAGAATGCTTCTTTTCCGATCTTTAAATCCCCAGTTTGTGTATCTGGCGGTCTGTTCGGAACCATTTCTGACTGTTTTGGGGACTGGTACTATCATTAATTTTAATTTTGTTTTCGAAACCTTGTTTTCTTGATTATGTGAATAACCCGCCTTGTAATTTGCTTCTAGTTGTAAGTTCAGTGGTAGAAATCAAGCGGAAATGGAAGCAGTGGTCATTGATGGGTCAGAGTCACAGGTGGTGGTGGGTGACGCTCATTCACTCCACCAGAAAATGTCTTCTATTCGCTGTGCAGGACCTTCAAAGCTCCAGGTTCACTCTTACACTTGTCTTAGTCAACGACATTCCATTTTATTTTCTAATTTTGAGTATCATTGAGTATCAATTTGTAATCGTTTTCAAATTTGGTTTTTGCAATTCAATAGAACTTTTAGAGCCCGTTTGGTGATCCAGTTTTTCGTATTTATCAGCCAACTTTTTCGCCAAACACGTATTTATGTTTTATATTTTTTTTATTTCGCGCGCCGGATTGAGTAATAATAAGAAAAAGTAAGGTTGAGGTTATTTTTCCGGGTGTATTGGCTGAAGTTACTGTAGATGATCATTTTAACTATCTTTAAATATTTTTTTCTTTATTTTATTAATAAAAAATATTTCAGATATGAATTTTTAATAAGTCTTCAGAAGTAGCCAATTCAAATGAGCCAGAACTTCATAAGTTTCAGGAGAATCAGCCAATTCAACTGATTTTGGTATTACCAAACGGCTCGTAATATATTTTTAAAACATGTATTCTTTTTTCCAAATCAATTTGGAAGGTC